AAATGAGTTAAAAATCTACCAGAACCTCAAGTAACCCCTTTCCTCCTACCCCGTCCCCTTTCCACTTGCCTCCCTGTAATGAAGGATGATTAAATTGACTGAATGTGACGAAGTTTGTAACGAAAATTGCTTGAGATCCGCGAGTTTGAGGCGAAGGTCGGCTGAGTTGTACACCACTGATTCGTGGTGGATGCGATGAATGGCCGTTGTATTGATTGTTGACGGACGAAACTGTGCAGCAGGCACTGCGTTGAACTGATTTATGGTAGAACGGCGATTATGGCAAGAAACAACAACAAAACGAACAAGAACAACAATAATCCCTGATAGGGGAAACGGCTTTTAAAGTGTGCATGTTCGGGCAAGCGGGTAGCGCTAACCGACCACAACTGAACGGCATGAGCCCACCGAGGGTCACGCACAAATGATCACGAAAGCGCTTAGCTCGCTTTTTTGACACTTCTCCCGTATACACTCGCACAAAAACACAGCAAATTAATAAATATGAATTCGGATTTTTCCGATTTTAAATAAACTTCCTCACACCAACTCTTTTTTTACACATAAATCTAGATATTACAGCTCTTGTAGGAGCAGCTGGATATGAGAGTGCTGCTGCAGCACACATATTTTTCATGTCTTAATGTAATAGTTGAAAAAATTTCAATTTTTGATATCTCACATTATAAAAATTTGCAACAATTTTCAATCTCACGATTTTTTCTCTCTCTCTCTCTCAGGCGGCAATCTCTGGCCTATGATTTTTGTCTTCTTAGAAGAAAATCCAAAAATTTCGAACTTTTTCAGTTTCGGTCGGGATGCGGTCCGGAATGTACAGGCGGCCCAGCTCACGACTCTCAATGTTGCCGAATTTGTTCCACTCATCCGGCGTCATAATCTCCACTGTTTCGTAATCCCACTGACCGGCACGATGCGTCGTCGATCGCGTACTACTGCTACCACCTCGTTCACTTCCATTCTCCTAAAATTAAACTTGATGGACCGAAACATTCCCATCCAGATTTTAATTTTAACTTATTCACATTTCCTTTTTTATTTCCTTACATCTTACATAAACACATAC